ATTAGTCATACAATCTTCAGAGGAATAACCTCAGTCAGACGTTTGTGACAGCTTAAAGCTGGCATCAGGAAAGGATTATTAAGTGAAGTATTGACGTATCATAGCCACATGGTGACGCACCATTTAGTCTTGACAAATGTTCTAGAAAAATATGTATCGACACAGGAAATGTCCAAGATATTATGTGAAAAACATATTATAGACAAGTACTATAATATTAAACATATTAAAAACAGTTAAACAACAAGTACTGTATAATTCCAGTAACTTAAAAAGTTGATACAGTATATGAATAGTACAACATATTTATTACCGTTATTATCTGGATGGTAGGAATTGTGGATGATTTTTTAAAAATAATTATTTTTTGTGCTCTTGAAAGTTGTCTCATGGATTCAGGGAATCCATGTTATATTTTGTATCATTAAAAAAACCCCTAAAGGTTATTGAAGAAGAACGGATACAGGCATATGCTTAGCTTCAGAAAGATGCTCTTTGCTGCACTTCTGTGAGGAAAGAAAGGTCTAGATATTCTCTCTCCCCACTTTCATCTGCCCGGCCCATTATCAAAAATAGTGATTCTAGAAGAGGTCATTTTTTAAGGTCCTATAAACCTGTTAAGGATGCCTTCTGTTAAATAATGTATGTTTGATCTATACAAAATTAATATTTAATAATATTTATTAGAGAATGAATAGGTAATCTTTCAGCACACAAAAACACAACTTAATATTTCTTCAGTGTTTGTTATATGCTATGCACTTTATGTGCATATTCGTACTTAATGTCCATTTTTTGAGAAAAGAGAGGGTAAATAACTTGTTGTTATTTATACCTTGCACAGAAGCAGGGGAGTGGGAGTCTAACCTGAGACAGTTTGACTCCAGGGTCATGTTCCCTGTACTGTACTGACATCAGTGCTTCCTGTGTGAGTATTTTTGTGTTTGAGGTCTTCGAGGAGATTTAGAAATGTGTAGTTCATGCTGTCTCCCTCAAGGAGCGTCCAAGCTACTTGGAAAGATAAAGAGGTGATGTGCAGCAGTAAAACACACCTGTTCCAGTAGGCAGTGCAGATAATACTTGATGTGACATTCAAGGAGAGACATTCTTGTGGCCTCCAGAGGTCAGAGGGGGCCTCATGAAGGAGCCGGGCTTTGAAGGATGGGGAGTGTAGCACATGAGGACCATAGAGCTATAGGTCAAGCAATAAATACCGTGTTCTGGAGAAAAGGAATAGGGAGTGACCATGCAGCCAGCACATAGAAAGCAGAGACTCTGGGGACAAATCAAGCCACAGGGGATGCTACTGGAAGACATCAACATACAACTGGGCAAGAGGAAACCAAGGCATAGTCAGGAGAGAAATAATATCTAAACTACAGGAGACAGGCTAGGGGTCAAGTGAAGACAGAGCTGGTAGATGAGAAGTGGAGTGACGGCAAGAGAAGAGAGGAAGAGTGGGACGACTTCAGATGGTTCTGTATCTAAGTCTGTTACTAATGAGCAAGTAATGGGGAAACTGTGTGTCTTGGTGAGAAAGGGGGGAAGCAGGTCCAGACAAAGGAGAAGCCAGAGGCACAGGGTAGGGATTACGGGACATAGTCATTCTCTGGCCATGATACTGTTCTAAAATACAGTGTATTAAGGGGAAATTTGAGGTTTCGTGAGGCCAGTAGATTAGGAGATGATTACCATTGAAAAGATAGTTTGCTTCTCGCAGTTGCCAAGAAGGGGGGCACACAGTGACAGGATCAGTTGGAGGTAGAGAGGGAGGAACTGTGAGCGAGAGCCTTTATTGTAGTTTCCCCAGGAAGGAATGAGTGAGGCAGGGTAATCAGGTGTAGGATTGGCTCTTCTGAATAACTTCAGAGGGCCCTGGGGTGTAGGTGCTGTCTGTCCCTAGTTGTCTGGTACCGGCTCTGGGATGAATAGGGCAGGTGGATGGTGGCCTGGAGTGTGGAGCTAAACAAAAGAGGTGTTTGAGGTGTGGGCTCCATCTTGGTTGGTTTGCATTTGAAAAGTGAACTCTCACTTTGAGTTGCTCACCATCTCTAGGGGTTGGCTAAACCTTGGGAGGGGCTGTCCCTCCAGGCTTTGCAAATCCTCAGATGTCAAAGCATAAGCATAAAGAAAATGAAAGACATGGTTAACACAGATGTGTAACCAACCTATAAATATTTACTGAATGCCTCCCATGCCCAAACACTAAACTGTGTGCATCAGATAGTATGAAATAATAATAACAACAAAACCAGCTTAGTCTTCTGTAGCCCTCACCACGTGCCAACAGTCCACACGCTTTACAAGAATGAACCCATTTAATGCCTGTAACAACCCTACGGGGAAGTACTTTTACCATCTCAATTTTAGAGATGAGGCAACTGAGGCTCAGAGAGGTTGAGCAACTTGCTAACATCACATAATGAGGAAGAATTGAAGCAGGGATTTGAACCCAGGAGGTTGGAGTCTGTGTTTTAACTACTACCTAATATTATATATGATATAGTTCCTGCTGTCCAGTTGAAGAGCTACTTCGAAGAGATAAGTATAAGTAAAGAGCAGGGCATATTTAATCTCAAAAGAAGATATGGGGATATATGCATATGTACAGCTGATTCACTTTGTTATAAAGTGAATGGCCACCCTATCCCACCCCTCTAGGTGGTCACAAAGCACCGAGCTGATCTCCCTGTGCTATGCGACTGCTTCCCACTAGCCATCCGTTTTACGTTTGGTAGTGTATATATGTCCATGCCACTCTCTCACTTCGTCCCAGCTTACCCTTCCCCCTCCCCGTGTCCTCAAGTCCTGATTGGGAATTTTTGACTGAAGGAGTTAGTGGTTTGCTTTAACAATTTGCTCCTCTAAAAAACTCTGAATAAGTGCCATTAGTTAATGAATTAACAAATGTTAACTCAGTGGCTAGAGTGATTTATTTACTAAATGGGACTATAGTAGTAAGTTATATATACATATATGTATGATATATATTTATAAATATATAAACATATATTTACGTATTCAGCATAGTTATTGTACTGTATTATATAGTATAACCTGTAGTATAGTTATATAGATGTACATATGTAGATGTACATATATGTATTTCTGTTAAGGAGAGTGATTCCATTGGACCTAACATTGTTTGCTATATAATAAAAATGAATTTTTCTGATTCTATAGGTGAATTTTAAAAAGCTTGATCTATAGTTCATAAAGCAGTTAAGGTTTCTTGGTGCACGTTATATCATTGGTTTTCCATTCACCGGCTGATTGAGTGGTCCTGCCAGCACACATCCTGCACACGGCTTCTTGGCACTTCAAGCTGCTGCATGCAAGTGCCCCAGGCATAAAGAGTATGGCGGAAATACCTTTTCCTCCGTCTGTGTTTGTAAGACAGTCTCTTTCACGCCAGAAGAACAGTTTTGGGGAGATGACTTGTGTCACATTCTGGCCTCATTACAGTTTTGGGTTGTAAGTGGCGCTGGTTTGCCTGGAGGTGTAAACATCTATTTTATCTTCACGTGCTTACGGGAATACCTGAAACTGAAAAAATACTTTCTATTCTTGAGTTCTGTTTTAGGCTGTAAACAGAGAGGTTAACAAGATATTTATCAAAATTCAAATTTTCTTTTATTAAAAGCATGCGTCCAAAAGAATGCCAATTACTTGCTGCTATGCCTCGGTTCTTCATTTCCAAACACAGATGGAGAAGTCGAAGAACCTAATGTCTTGTTACAATCATATGGTTCTGTAAGATAAAGAAACACTGTGCTTTTCTCTTTTGAAATGGTGAGGAAAGTGCGAGCAGGTGTTAAGTTACTGTCTGTAGTTAGAAGTCACAGGAAGTATAAGGTTATTCAGTGTTTGTTTAGGTGCAGCTGATAAAGTCAGCCGAAGGGATTCTGACTAGTCCAAATTTGCTTTCTGGTAAATAGGTACTATTTAAAGGATATGACAAATCACTTATTTATTCTTTGCTTAAAATGCACGAAAGCAACAGAAATGAGAAGCATGTATCACCCGAGTTTATCATGCCTTTCACACAGGGGTATCTTAAAAGTGTTTATTGATTTGTCCCCAAATAACTGAGTTTCAACAGGGGGAAACGTGTTTGGAGTGCAACTAGATTTTTCTATGACTTTCAAGGAATTTCCTATTCTACCTCAAAATTTACAAATTGGCGATATGTTATTTATTTGAAAAATAAATAACAATTAATAATTTAATTAATTAAATTAAAATTTATTTAATAAATTTCAATCACAGCAGTGAAAGCAATATAAACAAATGACAGTGCATCTGTTGTTGTCATTTTTCCTATAAGCCCATTTTGATGGCCACATTTTTTTGGACAGAATGACAACCTTTCTGATCTACTGACAGCAAACAGCCCTCTCCCTTTGGACATGTGCTTTAAAATTTTTTCAAATTCAGCTGTGCGTTAGTGCTTTCCATTTGGACTGTCTCACTCATGCCATTTAAGGAGATTTATTAACCTTTAAGTAATATTCCTCATTTAACAATAAACCAAACACATTGTGAGGTCTTCTTTGATTCTCAAGTGGTGATTTGAAAATATTAGTGCTTTGAGGGTGCTGAATCCAGCTTCATGGCAAAACTGGCCTCGAGTTCCCTCAGCCCGTTAGAATCTTCTAGCTGGGATGAGGGACATCTACTTCTTTCTCTTTTCTTATCTTGAGACTACCTGTTAGCCTCTCTTGGTTATCCAGTGACTGCCTTAATAACTAGCCCAGGTCTGTACATTCAGAAGTAACCAAAGAAGTTCTGATGTTCTAAGAGGACAACAGGGAACAGTTAAATAAAGGACATGGTTTGAAACCCAAATGTCAACATAGACAGGATCTCTAAAGTTCTCTGTTTTTGGAAGTTGTTAACTGGATTTAACTGTGACATATGCATGGTATGACTGAAATTAGACAACTACTGAAACAAATGACACAATGTTATATTTCACATTTCCCCTTCTGTCTTCTCAGCCATCATGTATGTCATGGGAGCACTTGGTCCTGCAGTGGGATATTTATTAGGTGGACTTCTTATTGGCTTTTACGTTGATCCCAGAAGTCCCATTCACCTTAATCAGGATGACCCTCGTTTCATTGGAAACTGGTAAGAATCGTTTATTAAATCTTTCATTTCACTTGGTATTGTTATAGAGTAATAGTCCCCTTGTAGTTAAAATAAGAATTTCCCCAACGGGAAGATGAAAAATAGCTAAATGTCACCTAGGAGGGGTTGGCAGGCAGGATAATAATCCCCAAAGATATCCTTGTCCTAATTCCCAGAACCTATGAATGTGTTACCTTCACATGGCAGAAGGGATTTTGCTGATGTGAATAAGTTTAGGCTCTTGGGATGGGGAGATTATCCTGGATGATCCGAGTGGGTCCAGTGTAATTACAAGGGTCCTTATAAGGGAAAGAGAGAGGCAGGAGGGTCAGAGTAAGAGAGGGAGATTTGATGATTGGAGCAGAGGTTGGAGTGATGTGCCTCAAAGACGGAGGAAGAGACCATGAGCTAAGGAATGCAGGTGGATTGCAGAAGCTTTGCCCCCCAGAGCCTCCAGAAGGAATGCAGTCCTGCCAACCCATTTTTTACTTCTGACCTCCAGAACTCTAAGATGATACATTTGTGTTGTCTTAAGCCATGCCGCCTGTGGTGATTTGTTATCACAGCAACAGGAAACTAACACAGAGGAGTTGGGAACATCAGTTTAATCCACATTCTTTAGGTTTGGGATGGCTGGTTTCTTCATAGCAGAGTGAAGGAAAAGGGGGATGCGGCTACGTCGGAACTTTCCTGTGTACTTTAATCGTAGCTTTCATTTTCTTTTCTGTGCCTTTAAAAAAATATTTTCTGCCGCTTCCTTATTATATTTGTGTTTCTGCTTTGTCCTTCTCCACTGCCCAGGACTGTAGCCCTGCGTTTCCACTGTCCCACTCTTAGTGAATCTTTTCACTCGGTAATAGTTCCTTCCCCTGGGTGTGCTGGAGATGTAGCCACTCTCTCACTTGCTAGCCTTTAATTGTCTTGCTAAATAAGTAAGTTTAGGATTTAGAATGAGAACTCCAACTTTGGATGGTAGGTTACTTATCCCTATCTCCAAGGGCTGCATTTGAATTCTTCCCAATTCTCATCTTGAACATAAGGAGTTATTTCTTCATGATTGCAAACACTCGCTCAAAGTATCGGCATCTCAAATTCATTAAACATGGATTGGTAATAGGCATACATTGATAAGAAATTTTCATTTTAGAACAGAGAATTTCATTAATTAGAAACTAGTGTCAAGTAATTACTTTCTAAAGAGTTTCTTAGACTACTTGTGTTCTCTCTGTGTTTCATTATAATTTAATAACCTCATAACTTGAGCTGTGTGAGAATAATGTTTAACACTATTTTCTAAGCAGTTAATCAATATTAATTAAATGATAGAACACTTGTTATTTTTATAAGTAAATACTCTTTGAAGGTGGAAGTGCTAAGATCTAGATGAGCCTAGCCTGGTAGAATTTTCAAATCATGCAAAAGGGAGCGTTCCCTTGTCAGCAGTAGGGGAATGACACAGGAATTTTAAGTTCTTGATCAATAGTGAAAATTTTTGGCCTCTACTGTTTGCTTTGCAGTTCTGAAATAATTCAGAGTAAAGATTTTGTAAAAAGTTCTCAGAAAACTAGATTATTAAAATATATCTATGAACATCCCATGTACAATCTGTGTTCTGTATAGATTTCCATGAGAAGAGCATGGCAATAAGGGAACGTCTGGAAGGAGAAGGCAAGGAGGACAGCTCAGGGGCAAGGAGAAGGCAAGGAAGCAGGAGCTTTAAGGTTACAAGTGCTTTATGCTGTTTTCTAAAAGTTTTCTAGTAGACATCAACCCAGTTGGTAGCAAAGTAGAACAATTGAGTGCAGACCCTGAAGCCACACTCCCCTGGTTTTAAATCCCAGTCTGCCACCTAGTAACTGTGTGACCTTGGGGAAGTTACTTAACTTCCCTGGGCCTCGGGGGGTTTTTTAAATCCATAAAATGGAAATAGTTGCAGTACCTACTTGATAGTGTTGTTGTGAGGAATAAATGAGTCTATGTATGTGGCGCTCTAAGCAGTTCTTCCTACATAATGTGTGTTACCTATTATTCAGTCCTTTGAATTTAATCAATGTTCAAGTAGTTTTATTCCTTTTAATGGCTCAGTATTCTACAAATGATAAAAGTTGTCAGTATAGAAATGTATACTAGGGAGTCTCTTTGAAAATGAATTTTATTGAGTAGCTCTGTTTGTAACAGACTTCTACCTTGAACAAAGACAGTTATTTGATACAATGTTAGTTTCTATGGTGCCTAGTGGCAATGATAGGTTTTTTGGGAAATATATGCTGGAAGAGCGAAGGAAGGAATGAGTGAATAATGCTAATATTGATTGGGTGCTATGTATCAAGCATTATTCTAAGAGCTTTACCAACATTTTCATTGAAGCCTTATAACAACCACATGTAGTCACTAAGAGTGTGCCCATTTTGCAGATGAGCATATTGATGGTCAGCGACTTGAACACCTTGCCCAAAGTCTCAGAGTCAGTGGGAGCTGGACAAGAAATTGAGTCCAGGGTGGAGGTTTTAGTCAATGTACTTAACTGTCCTCCCTTCATGAATAGTCTCTGAGTAATGGTTCATGAAAGGGAGTCAGGAGCCCTGGCTTTTCAATTTTAGCTCTTGCTGGTGCATCTTTTTCCAACATATAATGCACACTTCCTTGCCTTACTTAGCTTTTCTCAACGTCCTCTTTAGCACCACCATTATATCATGTGTTAACTTCGATGTTACTGGAGACCGATTTGCTCTGCTTAGAAATGTCCCTAAACATTTTTTTTATCTTTTTGTCTACTCACTGTAATTCTTTCCCTTCTTCTGTTATTTTCTCCCTTTGGGGTACTCTGAGTGTATCTTTAATGTTTGCATATAATTTTAAGTCAATGGCTCTGGGTGGAGGTGGGAGCCCTGAGTGCAGATCTACGTAAAAAACAAAACTAGCTACCATGAATTTATTGTTGCTTTGGGGGCAGGCATTTTATTAGGTCTTATACATTGTCTTATTAATTTTGACGATCCCCCCCCCAAAGTTATTATTACTTCCCTTTCAGATGAGAAAGTCTGTTCAGAAAAGCAAACTAATTTCCCCAGGATCTTAGAGCTAGTAAGTGGGAAAGACAGGATAAAAACCCAGGTCAGTCTGAAGCCACAACTCAAGAATTGCCCCTTATAGTCTGCTGCCTGCCCTCCTCTGGAGAGAGCATGAGAGGTCCAGGAAACTAAGGGGTTCAGGGGACTTGAATGCAGAGGTTGCAGAAAGAAATTCAAGAAAGATAATGGCAGGGCTGGGTTAGTAAAGTCCTTGTATGCAGCCAAGTACAAAAAGGGCCAGATATTATCATAGCTATGTCCCTGTCGACAGATGGCTCTGTTTTTAAAACACCTATCTCATTCAATTTATTTAGTTAGGAAATGTTTTGAGTACCTAACCTGTGTTAGGCACTGGGTTTGTGATTAAATACTGAATCCTTGAGATGGCTGGAAGTCTGCCCTGAGCAGTCTTCTAAAAATAAAACCTTTTTCTGATTGCTTTAATATCTTAATTGGGTATAACGTTAAGTATCTTTGAAAATAGCACACTGGATGGTCTGTGTTCTTACTGCGTTATATTCAACATGAATTCTTAGAATGCTGTTTGCGTTCTGATCACAATGGATGGGAAAGTATTGATACAGAGGCCAGAATCTGAGCGTTTATGAACTTGGAAACTTTGAGGACAGAGTTTGGAGTTGAGGAATCCTAGTTGCAAAGTTAGTGACCCTGTTAGGCAGGACCAGGGACCTCTATTTGCTAAGAAAAGGTTGAAAGGGGACTGAAAAATTGCCCTTGGGGAATTATGCAGGCAAGAAAGCCCAAGGCCTTAACACATGTTCTAATACAGGACTAGAATGAGAGATCTACTCTGTATTTACTTCCTAGTTCCCTCGGCATGGCAACCTCAGATGAGTCTAAAGACAGAATCTCGATTCTACACAGCTCAAATTCCACTTCTCAAGTTCCAGATCAGTGCTACTCAAAGTGTGGTCCCCGGCCACTGCTGCCCACCAGCAGTTACTGGTCTGTGACAGAATATGGGCTGAAATTGAGAGTAAATGTTGAGAAACTTAAAAAAAATTTTAACAGAGTAATTTTGTGTCTGACACATTGATTTCCCTTCTGAATTTTTATAACATTCATCTTCTATACCACATGATCTAACAATTGTGTACATTCTTGCATTTCTTGGAATTGCTTGGAATCATTTCTTATATCTTTAGCTCGCTTACAAGCAGATTGTAAGTTCTTGAAGGCAAAGATTGAGTGTAAACGTCTTCAGCTCTGCTCATACTTGGTTAAGTTTGGGAAGGCCAGCTAAGGAGGGTTGATACATTCTTAAGTGCTTGCAGAAAAATATTTGAATGCCATCAGCCATTTGAAATACATTTTATACCAGATATTAATGGTTTTCTTCTAAGAAAAAAGTGTCCATATTGGTCCAGAAAGCATGCTATAGACTCTATATTATTCTTTTCTTAAAATTATGGGCTATTGATTTATTATAAGATGCACACTGTAGTAGGACTAACAATGTTAATTAGCAGAACTAACATATATGTGCTCAAAAATACTTGAATTGAATGAAATTCTGGTCAGGCTGCTGATTTTAATAGTCATTATAATACTAGTATAATTACTGGGTAGATTTCTCATTTATACCACAGAAAGGGAGGATTCCGTACTATATTTTCTTAAGTTGTCTAACTTCTTACTGCTGTACACCTGATGAAGGTAAAAAGTTTTCTCTGGAGAAATTTATCACCACAAACTTTTACTTTGCTAATTTGTTCACACTCATAATGCCAAAGCCATAAATGCTATTCACATTTCCCAATTTTTTAGGTGGAGTGGATTCCTCCTTTGTGCCATTGCAATGTTTCTTGTGATATTCCCAATGTTTACTTTTCCAAAAAAGCTTCCTCCTCGACACAAGAAAAAGAGAAAGAAAAAATACTCTGCTGATGTTGCTGGTGACGATGACGTTATGAAGGAGAAAACAAACAATTGTGAAGAAGTGGACAAAAAAGTTTCTTCTATAGGATTTGGAAAGGATGCCAGAGGTAAGGTATATCTTTTGAATAAGTACGTGCATGGCACTTCAGATCAGTGCTACTCAAAGTCTGGTCCCCGGCCAGTGCTGCCCACCAGCAGTTACTGGTCTGTGACAGAATATGGGCTGAAATTGAAAGTAAATGCTGAGAAGCTTAAAAAAAAATTTTGACAGAGTAATTATGTGTCTGTTGAATCTAATAACAATAATAAATTGGGCTTAAATTTTGTATGTTTTAAAATTTTCATTTTCTAGTTATTCATCTTTAATGTATCTTTCAAAAGTATCAGTAACAATAGACTAGAAATAATAATTAAAAAATAGTCCTTTGTAACAGATAGCTTGAGAAGCACTGATTTAGAATCTAAAGGTGAAGACTTCATACTGTAATTAGAGATGTCTGATTTTTAAAATAATTATTGCATTATACAATGGATGGTTTGTCTCAGGGAACCGTGGGTTTGATAGTGTGTCCTGATCCTTACATAAGTATAAAACTTACCTCTAGGAAAGGATCTTGTTCAACAGTGGCTCTGTCAAAGCTTGAAAGTGGCCATGGAGAAGGGCAACCAGGGGATGGGTCTCCAAACCCAGCATAAAAACGTCCAGAGGGTTTCAGTGATGTGTACTGGTCTGTTTTTTCATTCTTATCTCTCTTAAAAATAATGACTTTATTAGAGCCAGATTAGGCAATCTCAAATCTAAACAACTTAATCTTAACCAAGCCATTTTTGTTCCATATTCAATACCTCTGTTGAATGGCAATAAATCCCTTTATTCCAAGAAACCTATAACTACATTCCCATTAGTTCCTGCCTATTTCGTGAATTCTCTGAATTGATTTTTCTAACTTATGAAGCATAATATTTATCAAGTGCTTACATCAGTTAAGGTTGTTTTAGGGTAAATTTACCTAGGCACATTATCATCTCACTTTGACTATGTACACAGTAAAGACGAAGAGGAACCTTTCAGGCTTAGAAGGAAGTTACTAATATATTATGGAACTGTCCCTGCAGCCTAAGAATGGTTAGATTGGACTATTTTTAAAGACTGTATTTGTTCAAAGCAGTGAAGTGACATTTCATTGGAAATGCTTCTTCCCAGTTAAGTTTTAGATTTGCCTTTCCCACTCCCTCCTCATTATTTTGGGACAATGTGTGCTTTTGGAACTGCCAAAATTACCTCTTCTGCTCTCAGAACATAAAAGATTCTCTGGATGGTATAAAAGATTCTCTGGATGGTAGCTCTTACCCTGTGGACCAGTCCATCATTTTTCGTGGATGCATGATGGACCATAATACTACCAAGGGAGTGACTTGTTTTTTTTTAAACAACCCAGTTGAGAGCAAAATTGATGTTAAAAAATTCACAACATACGAATAGACTAAGAGTTTTACTTTACAGAGAATATGAAGTAGACTCAAGGGGGGAAATAAAGGCTAAGCTAAAATGGTATATTTTATAGCTTAGAGGTAGATGGCTCGAATGTGGAATATATGCTCTGTTGGATAGTAGAGAAAAGGGAGAGCGAAGACTGATATGAAATACCAACAGCGGACACAACCGTTGATGGGAATGAAGTCCTTGGAGGAGCCAGTGTAGACAATGATTTCAGTGCCCCATCTGTACTGTGGGACCTTCCCGTTGTCAAGGTGGAGGATCTCCTGAAGGCCTGTGGGTCTTCTTTTGCCTGAAGGTCTTCTCTGTAGTCTGGGAAAGTGCTTGACTCCTGCACACTTCAAGTGCCAAAGAATTAACACCCTGGCTTCCCACCCCTAAAGCCATCTTAACCAATGGCTGATCAGCATCCCAGCTCCATCCCCTCATGGGTGAGACAGTCCTGAGGTATGTTTCTACATCCTTTGTAAGCCACCCTTTCTTCCTGTGCATCGCGTCCACACTCCCATCCAGTGTTTCCTGAATCTCCCAAATAAACAGTTTGGCCTTGAATCCTTAACTCAACTCCTGCTTTTGGGGGAAAGCTCACTTAGGCAGGCAGCTTCAAAAGTGGTAAAAGCCATCATGGGATTTGAAAATTATTTTTCAGAATTGAACCTATGTACTGTTTTGTTGGATGTCTTCTTGTACTGCTAAGGTTTGTTCTTCATCTTTTCTATGTTCAATTTGATGGTTCAGGATATTTTCTTTTCGAGGAAAGAATAAGAGGAGTCTTTTGACAGTGATGGGTAGTTGGTTTATAAAATCCATTTTCATTCTGGTTTTCTTGTCAGTATTTCTGATAAATTCTCAGCTTTTTCACTCTATGCCTTAACTATGATGACGGATCTTACTTCGGCAGTGAACCTTCCTGATTAGGACGCAGAGCTGGTTTATTTTATTACTTCTTCTTGCACTGGATTCTCTAATTGTATCTAGACCTGGAACTTCCAGAGACACTTTCTTTTGTTAGAAAGGAATCCTGTTCAGATGGGAATATAAAGTGAAAATGTTTTGCTAAAAATTATTCAAGTGATATTGATGACATTGGAATAATGTTCAAATACAATATTTAAAATTAATTCATATATATCTTGCGCATTTTGGTTTCTAATACCTTTACCTATAGGAAATGGCAGTCTAATATTTAATCTGATTTTCAAAAAGATCAGTTAAATCTCTGGGAATCATTCCATCACTGACATAATTTGTATTCCAAAGCTGAGATTCATTATTTAGGTCTTGAATGAAAGAGTGGTTGCTAAGATTTCATTTTGAGTTAAATCTGAGTTTGATTCGCAGATCTTCTTTTTCCCTGTCCTGTTTTTTGGAGTAAGGCTCCTTTTAGTCTTTATTTTATATTTGAAATCTGTACATCAATATTAGCTTCTTCAAAGAGAAGGTGGAAAGGTGGCCAAGTTAGTATTTTTTTAGTTCCTAAAAACAAAAATGATTTAGGCCATACAGAATGGTGCTCCTTGAGAAGTTTTATTGCAGAGAATTCAAGAAGGAAATACACTACACTTTCTACCCTCTGCCTCCACATTTTAATGATAGACATTGGGAAAATCTGACTCAGTGTTTCTAGATTCTTATTATAAATTATGCAGGAATAAGGCTTTTAAAACACCACAAAGGAGGCAGTAGAATTTTTAGTGTGTCTGCATCACCATCCCATAAAGAGAATAGCATTGATTGCTTCAGCATCTTACCCATAAAAATAAACAGCTAAAATATTTAAGTGGATCAATTTTCCTGAGGTTTGAGGTCCAGCATTTTAAAAGTCTTCTGACTTTACCTGGACATTTTCCTAAATAGAAAGCTTTTGGTAGCAGTTAATCGTAAGAAGATGTTTATTTTTGTGTCCACTTTTAACCTTCATTTCTTGGCGTTATGAATTAACATAAAGTACAACAGACTTTCTCTGCTAGACTTCTGTCTGTGTTCAAGTAGAATATACTTATCATTCTAAGTAAAATAGCTACTCTGAGGTGATGCACTGATTTAAAGAGGCTATTGGAAGTTATAGAGTATTGATCACTAGAGGGTGATGTCATCATTTAATTCAATGACTATTCACTCTGTAGAAGCTGCTCTACTCCAAGCTGTGGCAGATCGGAAGATGAGTGAGCCATGGTTTGCCCTCAGAGAGCTTATAGTCCATTGAGGGAGACAGGACAAGTACAGATGGAAATATGCTAATGGCCAAAAAGGAAGATGGTGTGAGAGTCAGAGGCAGGCGAGGGAACATCTAGTTGAGGGATCAGGAAAGGTTTCACGGAGGAGGTGGGCTTTGTGATGGACCTTGGAAGACTGGGAGAATGTCAGTAGGTGGAGGTGGGATGGTGTGGGTATTCCAGTCAGAGAGAGCAAAGGCAAGAAGGTCAGACTGGGGTGATGTATTTGAAAATGCTGAGCGAGTGTATTGTGGTTGGTGTGTTGGATGTGCATGGTGGAAGCCTGGGACGTAAGGTTGGGAGGGTAGGGTGGGACCATATTGTGCATAGAGAGTTCTAACCTTAACTGAGTTTGGCCCAAATGGGCAGTGGGGAGGTTTGAGCAGCCTTTGGCAAGCACTCTGTTAGGTAGATTGGGGGGGGAGGGAGTGGAATGGAAGGAGGGCGCCCAGCTAGAAAGCTACCGACAGAGCCCGAGAGAGGTGATGATGGTTTTGCTTAGTACAGATGGAAAGGACAGTAGCGTGCTAAATTGGTTTTTTTTTGGCCACGCCAGGATGGGATCTTACCCTGACCAGGATCTAACCCATGCCCCCTGCAGTGGAAATGCAGAGCCCTAACCACTGGACCGCCAGGGAATTTCCTCCTTGTCCCCTTTCAGTTGCTTTCAACTCTCCAGCCAGAAGGATCCTGTTGAAATGCCACTCCTCTGCTTAAAGCTTCTGTGGTCTCCCAGTCTAACCCCTGGTTACCTGCCTGCCCCCATATCCTTCTTGCAATCCCATTTGTTCATTCTACTTCAACCACATTGGGCTCATCACTGGTCCTCAAATCTGCCAGCACACTCTCACCTCAGGGCCTTTGCACTTGCCATTCCCGTGTGGTGAACGCTCTCTCCCACATCCTCTCGCTTCCTTCAGGGTATTTCTCAAATGGTCCCTTTTCAATGAGGCCTTGCTTGGCCACCATATTTAAAAATTTCTACCTTCCTCTCCAAAGCTTATCTCTCTCTCTCCTTTATTTTTCTCCTTAGCACTCATCACTATGTAGTATACTATGTATTTTACTTATGTTATTTATAGTCTCAGTAATGAGAAAGTAAGCTCCATGAAGGCAAGGAATTTTTGTCCGTCATGTTCCCTGATAAATTCCCACCATCTAGTAGATACTCAGTAAATATTTGAAGAATGAATTATTGAATGGTGAGGCGGGAAGGAAGAGGTTGTGTTTATAGAATGTGGCAACTGCTATGGGAATGATGGGGAGGGAGGTGCCAAAGTCGGTTTCAGGGTTTCAACCTCAGATGATGGAGAGAGGAATAGAGGCGCAGGGGGAATAAATTCTGAATTTGAGTTGCCTAAGAACAAAGAACCATTGCATGTGGTTCTTTGCT